CCCTCCCTCCCTCCCTCCCTCCCTCCTTCCTTCCTTCCTTCCTTCCTTCCTTCCTTCCTTCCTTCCTTCTTTTCTTCCTCTTTCCTCTCTTTACTCTCTTTTCCATTCCCCTTTCCTTTCCTATAAGAGACTTATGTTAGAACTAAAGATACAAACAGGTTGCAAGTGAAAGGAGGGGAAAAGATATTCTATGCAAACAACTAAAAGAGAGTTCGCATGGCTATCTTAGTATCAGACAAAATAGACATTAGACAAAATTGTTACAGACTAAAAGAGACAGAGAAGCACATCATATAAAGATAGAAGAGTGAATCCATCGAGGAGATATAGCAATAATAAGTCCATATGCACCTTACAACAGAGCCCCACAATATATGAAGCGAAAACAGAATCGAAGGGAGAGTTTTACATTAATAGCTAGAGACTTCAATAGTAGCTAGAACAACTATACAAAAAATAGACAATGAAATAAAAGATTTGAACAACAACAGGTCAGGGCACATTCTTCTCAAGTACACATGGAACATCCTCTAGAATAAACCATATATTGGATCACAAAATAAGTTTCAATAAGTTTAAAAATATGTAAATCATACCTAGTATCTTTTCCAACCACAATGAAATGAAATTAGAAGTCAATAACAGAAGGAAACTTGGAAAATTAACAAACATTTGGAAATTAAAAATAGCATACTTCCTTTTTTTACATTTTAAAAAACTATGGCAAAATATGCATAACAAAAAATTTACCACTTTAGCTATTTTTAAACATACGGTTCAGTGAAATTAAAGTTTATTCACATTGCTGTTCAGTCATCACCACTATCCATCTTCAGAGCTTCTCCATCATCTTAAACTGAAACTCTACCCCCTACGCAATGACTCCCCGCTCCTTCTGTCTCTGTGAATGTGACTATTCTAGGTACCTCGTGTAAGTGAAATCATGCAATATTTGTTCTTTTGCATCTGGCTTAATTCACTTCTCATAATGTGTTCAAGATCCACCTATGTTGTGCCATGGATCAGAATTTCACCCTTTTTTAAGGCTGAACAATATTCCGCTATATGTATAGATCACATTTTGTCCATCCATTCAGCATCGTTGGGCATTTGGGTTATCTCTACCTTCTGGTTTTTGTGAATAATGTTGCCGTGAACATTGATATGCAAATATCTCCTCAAGTTCCTCCTTTGAATTCATCTGGGTGCCCGTCTGGAGGTGGAATTGCTGAATCACATAGTAATGCCATGTTTAATGCCGTGTGTTTTTCCACATCGGCTGCAGCGATTTACATTCCCAGCAGCGATACACAAGAGTTTCAGTTTCTCCACATCTTCACCAACACTTATTTTCTATGTGGTTTTTTGTTGGTTGGTTGGTTGGTTGGTGTTTTTTTAAATAATAGGCATTCTAGTCATGGCTGTAAGCAGTATCATGGCTGTGATTTGCATTTACCTAATGATTAGTGATGTTGGTGCTTTAATGGGAGACTTTGTAAGCATGATCGCAATTATCCAGTAGAGGGGGGAAATGGTGATTCAGAGAAGGAGGGGACATCAGAGAGAAAAGACCCTTAGCGGAAGAGAGGTGAAGGACTATAGGATGCACAGAACGTCTTGGAAGCAGGGGAGAACTTTGCTTTGTTTGTTTTTGGCCATTGAACTGGGCCCATGAGAGGAAGTCACGGGGGTAGGCATTGCATCAGCATGAAGGGCATTTTGTGAAAAGTAGGAATCTTGCCCTTTCAGGCTGCCCTGGAGGGGTGGCGAATTCTTTGTCACCAGGGCTGAGGGCCTCTGGAGCAGGAAATGCCAGCCTTGGGTAAGGAAGAGGGAAGTTAGCTTTGTTCAAGTCACCTCTTGTATGGGGCTGGGAATCCAGGACTAGATGGGTGGGGATGCAGGGCCAGCCGCAGCTCCCCCGTGCCAGTGTCTGCCACGGGCTCTGTCCTCTGTCCCTGCAGATGCTGGCGCCCCTGTTTACTTCTATGAGTTTCAGCACCGGCCCGACTGCTTCAAGGACACGAAACCGGCTTTCGTCAAAGCCGATCACTCTGATGAAATCCGCTTCGTTTTCGGAGGTGCCTTCCTGAAGGGTGATGTCATATTTGGTAAGGAAATGGCCTCCGGGCCCCTGCTCTTGCTGGAGCACTGGGGTGACCAGGAGAGCACAGGGCGCCCCCCTGTTTGCATGAAGCCCTCACCGCCCCAACTTCATGCGGGAGCCGGAGGACTAGTTTTAATTTACTTGTTCGATCTCTGGTTTACAAATGACCTGCTCCTGGAAAATACCCCCCACTCGTATTTTTAGAAACCGAGATGAGAAAGAGCTGCCAACAGTTGCTTGAAGAGTGTTTCTTTTTGTACTGCAGCTTAAAGGGGCTGGCATTTCGAAGCACTCAGGCAGTCTCCCCTTTTTAAAAATCAGAACCACTTTCTTCCATCTCTGACTGCTGGTCTCACCACCCCCCGCCCTTTTCAGAACTCCCACAGGGCTACCACCTAGGCCTTTAAAAGGCAAGAACCTCGTTTTTTCATAAGCCCAGCCCAAAGCGGCCTGGATCCTAGTGATCTAATGTGAATGCTTGTGAGCTATTACCCCTGAGGTTCGCTCAGGTATTCCTGAATTTATGACCTGTTCAGTGCCTAAAATAATAAGCCAGTCAGATGAGATTATCAACAGAAAATCCTACAGAAACTACACACAGAAAATATGGCTAAAATATTTAGTTTTAGACATTTGCACCATGCAGGCTCTTGGCCAGTTCTTGCTGGCCTCTCGACAGTGAGGACAGAGCCTCTCTGGAGTGTGGGTGTGCGCTTGGTTTAGTGGCTTCTTCATCGTTTCATCTACAGATTCCCACCTTGTAATACCAGTAACAACAGCTACTTCTTAGGTTGTCCTGGGGAGTAAATGAAATAGTTCTCATAAGCACACAGTGAGTGATACTATTATTAGTGTTACTCAGCAACCATTACTGAGCCTGGACTATTTGATGGATACATGGACTCTCCCAACTGGAAAAAAATGAATGACATAGGTGTCGAAGGGTTAAATTCCTTCGTATCTAAAGAACTCCTGAAATCAATGAGAAAATAAACCACCCAGTAGAAAACTGGGTAACAGATAGTTTGTGGAAAAGGAACCGTGAGTGGCTTTCAAAGGTGAAAATCCACTCGACCTCACTCTCAGCGAGAGGACTGCAGACTTACTTGACTGAGGAATTGTTTTTCATTGGTCAAGGTTGGGAAGAACAGCACGTTTTACATGATCACTGGAGCAGGCGTGGGGAAGCGGACAGCCTCATGTAGTAACGGAAAACCTGATGAAAATCTTCATTGCATATGGTCTTTAGCCTAGCAATTCAACTTTTAGGGATTTTTGTGCAATTAATTATACTTCCCCATGTGCAAAAATATACCTGCTCACTAGAATATTGCTTTTACCATCAAAAGTCTGGAAATAATGTAAAGATCCATTAGTAGAGTACTGGATACTCTATTACATATTTATATGATTGCATATAAGTATATATATTTATAGAAAAATAAATGATAATAAATGGATGTTTTATAGGCAACACTGTGGAATTATCTCCTAGATAGGATTTTAGCAAAAAGATGCAGAATCTGTGCCCATTACACTACTGCGTGTGCAAAACCTGTCTGCCTAAGCCCATGTGCCTGTCTAGCTGCCTTCGGAGGGCACCCAAGAACCTGGGAGCAGTGGCTGCCTCAGAGGCTGGTAACAGCGGAGAGAAGAGATGGGAGGGAAACTAATTTTTATTAGATGCTCTTCCTGTATTTTGGGTTTTGTACTTTGAGCAAAATGCTTTGAGCATTACTTTTTCAAATAAAGAAATACAATAATTAGAGACAGAGAGGGAGAGAGAGATGGTCTCTGTCCCTCAAGGAGCTGGGAGCCTCAGGGGAATGGCTGGGAGAGCATGCGGTGTCCAGGGAAGAGGTGTGTTCAGCCTCCGCCATTTGGAAGCCGTGGTTTTTGGGGCAAGTCACAGGTGCCCTGAGCCTCGGGACCTGCAAATCCCCAATGAGCCGAATGGCTTGGCAGCCTGGTGAGGGCCCAGCGGGAGGGGACGCGTGGGCGGCGCTCATCAGACGCTGGCGCCTCGGGCTTCTGGCAAGCGGTGTGGGACCCGGGGTTTGTCATTGTGTCCTTCAGAAGGCGCCACGGAGGAGGAGAAGCTGCTGAGCAGGAAGATGATGAAATACTGGGCCAACTTCGCGCGGACCGGGTGAGTGAGCCCGCGGGCCTGCCCCCCGCCGGGCGTCCGAGGGCGGCAGCTCACCCCGTTTCTGCTCTCACTCCCAGGGACCCTAACGGGGAGGGCCTGCCTCTGTGGCCGGCCTACGATGCGAAGGAGCGGTACCTGCGGCTGGACTTGAACCTGAGCGTGGGACAGAGCCTGAGAGCGCCGGAGGTGGCGTTCTGGGCGGAGACCCTGCCCCTGCTAATGTCCACTTCCGAAGGGTGCGCCGGCCCCCTTTCCTCCTTGGCGCTCCTGTCTGCGCTCCTGCCTTTCCTTTGCTCTTGCGCTCATTGAGAGGTTCTCTTTGCGTGAATTTGGTTTTCCTTCCACTGCGGTTTCTCTCACCATCATCGGCTTCTTTCTGTGATTAGCTGCTTTATGGAATCAGCTGCTTTAGCTGATCCTTCGGGGATTCATCTCAACATCAAAAAATCGCAATTTGCCTTGAAGGCTACCAGATTTCTTCAATACATCTGCAGGAGAGGGCTGGGCTATTTTTTAGTTGGCATGATGATGATCTTGTTATGCATATGAAATAAAAGCAGAGTGTAAAATATGTACAGGGAACAGAATTTAATTCTGGGCTGAAAACTACACCCCCGCCCCCAACATCCAAGATGAAGTGGACTGTCTATCAGAGAAGGCGTCTGCTTGTGTTACCTGAAATGTGAGTCTTCCAGCCTCGATCCAGGCAGGTTTCAGCCACAAGCCAAGCATGGATGTCCTGAACATCACTGGCTTGAACAGGGTTCCTTCTGTGGCTCAGAGACATGTGGGGGAGGGAGGCACGCCAAGAGCCTCCTCTCAGCAATGGAAACCAGACATCCTCTAAGGTCAGGAAGTCAGAAGTCAAACCTCATGCAGCAAGATCAGGCCAAGGACACCAAAGACAAGAGATGCTTCCCTGATGGGGTTGAGACTAATCGACCATTCAATAAATCTACACTGGGTGCCTGCTATGTACCAGGCACACCATATCGGTGTTAAGCCCCCAAATGCTGAGCAAACAACAAGCAGACACTTAAGCAAATGATTATCTTATAAGTTTATTAAGTTCGCTCAGTGAAAGTAAGGTATTTTAAGAAAGTATAACAAGAGAACCTACTTTAGGTTGAAGTCTTAGGAGGTTGTCTCTGGAAAAATAACATTTATAGTAAAAAAAAAAAAAAAAAAAAATGAATTAAA